CTCCTCCGTTTCCTCTGCGGTCTCTCAGACTCTTCTACTAGATCCATGTTAAAGTCTCAAGATGGAGAATCGTCTACTCAGGCTGCCAGACATGTCATCTCCTGGATCAGGAAGAAAATCCCAGAACAAAGATCTGAGAAACATATAAGAAACAACAGAAATATTCTTAATGTATTCTACTATCTCCATGAGAGCAGGAATGAGGCTCTGGTGTCACAGTGTATTGGATTAAAAAAAATTGACTTGTCTAATGTCCCCCTCAGCCCTCTGGACTGCTCTTTGCTGTCCTTTATCCTTCAATCCTGCAGAGAGATGGAGGTAGAAGAAGTAAATCTACGTTCATGTAATATTCAGAATGAAGGATTGAGAAAATTTATACCGGCTTTACACAACATCAAGAGTTTGAGGTAAAGATTAACTATGAATAATACAATGTTCAGAAATTTCCCCAGAGAAATTACAAATTGTTGGTGTTTCTTGTCTTTTTATATGTGGACTCTATAGGTTTCTATGTGAATGTATTAGATTGTTGCATCAAATGTACAGATGAGTAGAGGCAGCAGAATCTGATCTATGGGATGTCTGTGTCAGACAAGTAGCAGTGACACCATTGGTCGGGTCTCTGCTCTGACCTTAGAGTTCCATAAATCTTCAGTTATGTGTGACCCCAGCAGGAAATTTTCCATCCATTTATTGATAAGATCACAGAATAATCAGCAAACAAGATGAGTTAATTGTTAAATTGCTTGTTTTAATAATAATTCTAGCGTGAATGCGGATATAATTTTAACCCTTTGCATTTTTTTACACATTTATGATTTAATGCTGAAGAAGAATCTGTTCCTGAACACCCCCAGATGGTTCCCGAGAGGTTAGAGTGGGGTTATGATTTTGCCTATATACACTCCCACGGCTACTTTATAAGTCACACCTGTTCAATTGCCTGGTAACACAAATTGCTAATCAGCCAATCACATAGGAATGCAATGCATTTAGGCATCTAGATGTACAAACTGAAGTTCAAACTGAGCATCAGAATGGGGATGAAAGGGGAGTTAAGTGGCTTTGAACATGGCATGTTTGTTGGTGCCAGGCAGGCTGGTCTGAGTATTTCAAATCTGCTGACCTACTGGGATTTTCACGCACAACCATCTCTAGGGTTTACAGAGAATGGTCCGAAAAAGAGAAAATCTCCAGTGAGTGGCAGTTGTGAGGAGGAAAATGCCTCTTTGATGTCAGAGGAGAATGGGCAGACTGGTTGCTGCAACATTCAGATGGAAAGGTCACAATTTGGTGTAAACAACATGAAAGCATGGATCCATCCTGCCTTGCATCAATGGTTCAGGCTGGTGAAGGTGTAATGGTGTGGGGGAGATTTTCTTGGCATTAGCAAGGTGGACCTAATAAAGTGGCTGGTGAGTGAATATGGAGCCCTTCCTCCAAGAGCTCCCTCTAGTGGGGCTAAGAATGAGTGAAATAAAAAAAAAAAATATTAATTTAATTAATTAAAAAATGTTGGCTCACCAAAATGCACTGAAGTCAATAAGGAAGATGACATTAAAGCTGAACTCCATTCTTCATTTCAGTCTTGCTCTGTTGTACAGCTTTCTCTCCTGGACTGAAATGGATTACTCCAATTTCAGTGCACACTTTGAGCTTCTCAGTGCATTCTAATTTTTGCATAACCCCTTTCAAGGGGCAGCACACTGCTTGTATCAGGGCTAAGGGTAATACAGAGAAATACTGAGGCTGGGTGCTGTGATGTTTGCAGGTAGCTATGTACAGCTCTCTTCTGGCCCTTCCTACCAGCCATGATTTGTCTGTATTGCATAGAGAAGAATGGAGACCCACTGATATCACATCAAAAGGATTTATTAGAAATGTCAATAGAATGTTGACGGGGATAGGGGAAACCAAGGAAGGCAACATATAAACAGATTAAACTTCAGCTTCAAGGTGGTTTAAATGGTTTGCAGTAGTTTGGCTGCAATGTGCCCTAGGTGACTTGTGGGAATTTTTTTTAACTACTTAAGGGAACTGCAGACAGGTGGCCCATGCAGGCACTGCCTGCTTCCAGGCTTAGGGCGGGAGGCTACCAGCAAGTCCCAGCCCATGATTCATGGTCAGGACCTGATGACCAGCTGTGTCCAATCACAATCTAGAGAGCTCTGTGTTGACAATCAACACAGAGCTCTATAAAGAGGGAACAATCTCTCTGTTATAATAAAACAGGATAAGTGAGCGCTAAAGTAAATATAAGAACTAGCAGCGGCTGTGCACCAAAAAGGCAGCATATAAGACCTTCAAAAAAGACAAAATAAAAAAAGGGGGGTGCAGCGCTAAAAGAGCGTCCACAAATGCAATGTTAAATTGCAAATATAGTGACAATGTGCAAATAAATAGGCCACTGAATGGTATATAGAAGTGAAGGAGGTGTCAAAACCTAAAAATCAATAAAATAAGTAGAGGTGAGCGAATTATTCAAAAATTCGATTCGGCTGATTCGGCGAATTCGTGGAAAAAATTTGATTCGAGTCGAATATATTCGCTGCGAATTTAACTTATAAAAGGGTGTTTCTAGGCTTCAGAGAGCCTTTATATTAGTGCAGAACACTGTACCTTTAATTTAAATGCCCTTGGAGTCTGCTGGGGAAGAGAAATAATACTGTCAGTCAGGATGACATGCAGATGAGTGCCGTCGATCTTAGAATCACCGCACACTTCACTCATTTGGGCAGTCACGGGGCCAAAACCAGAGTGTGGAGCCACAGTGTGGCGGTGGAGGGCAGCAGCAATGGGAGGCCATACAGCACCCTATGACAAAATGGAACCCACCAGCAGTGTGAGGAGACCTGAAAGTGGCACATGGCAGAGTGTGGCGATGGAGACAGCAGCAATGGGAGGCCATACAGGTACCCATGACACACTCTGGACCTGGCAGCAGCATGAGGAGGCGGTACAGGGGCCCATGACAGATTACGGGCCTGGCAGCAGCATGAGGAGTCGGTACGGGGGCCCATGGCAGATTACGGGCCTGGCAGCAGCAATGGGAGGCCGTACAGGGACCCATGACACACTCTGGACCTGGCAGCAGCATGAGGAGGCGGTACAGGGGCCCATGACAGATTACGGGCCTGGCAGCAGCATGAGGAGTCGGTACGGGGGCCCATGGCAGATTACGGGCCTGGCAGCAGCAATGGGAGGCCATACAGCACCCTATGACAAAATGGAACCCACCAGCAGTGTGAGGAGACCTGAAAGTGGCACATGGCAGAGTGTGGCGATGGAGACAGCAGCAATGGGAGGCCGTACAGGGACCCATGACACACTCTGGACCTGGCAGCAGCATGAGGAGGCGGTACAGGGGGGCCCATGACAGATTACGGGCCTGGCAGCAGCATGAGGAGTCGGTACGGGGGCCCATGGCAGATTACGGGCCTGGCAGCAGCAATGGGAGGCCGTACAGGGACCCATGACACACTCTGGACCTGGCAGCAGCATGAGGAGTCGGTATGGGGGCCCATGGCAGATTACGGGCCTGGCAGCAGCAATGGGAGGCCATACAGCACCCTATGACAAAATGGAACCCACCAGCAGTGTGAGGAGACCTGAAAGTGGCACATGGCAGAGTGTGGCGATGGAGACAGCAGCAATGGGAGGCCGTACAGGGACCCATGACACACTCTGGACCTGGCAGCAGCATGAGGAGGCGGTACAGGGGCCCATGACAGATTACGGGCCTGGCAGCAGCATGAGGAGTCGGTACGGGGGCCCATGGCAGATTACGGGCCTGGCAGCAGCAATGGGAGGCCGTACAGGGACCCATGACACACTCTGGACCTGGCAGCAGCATGAGGAGTCGGTACGGGGGCCCATGGCAGATTACGGGGCCTGGCAGCAGCAATGGGAGGCCATACAGCACCCTATGACAAAATGGAACCCACCAGCAGTGTGAGGAGACCTGAAAGTGGCACATGGCAGAGTGTGGCGATGGAGACAGCAGCAATGGGAGGCCGTACAGGGACCCATGACACACTCTGGACCTGGCAGCAGCATGAGGAGTCGGTATGGGGGCCCATGGCAGATTACGGGCCTGGCAGCAGCAATGGGAGGCCATACAGCACCCTATGACAAAATGGAACCCACCAGCAGTGTGAGGAGACCTGAAAGTGGCACATGGCAGAGTGTGGGATGGAGACAGCAGCAATGGGAGGCCGTACAGGGACCCATGACACACTCTGGACCTGGCAGCAGCATGAGGAGGCGGTACAGGGGCCCATGACAGATTACGGGCCCAGGCAGCAGCATGAGGAGTCGGTACGGGGGCCCATGGCAGATTACGGGCCTGGCAGCAGCAATGGGAGGCCGTACAGGGACCCATGACACACTCTGGACCTGGCAGCAGCATGAGGAGTCGGTACGGGGGCCCATGGCAGATTACGGGCCTGGCAGCAGCAATGGGAGGCCATACAGCACCCTATGACAAAATGGAACCCACCAGCAGTGTGAGGAGACCTGAAAGTGGCACACATGGCAGAGTGTGGCGATGGAGACAGCAGCAATGGGAGGCCGTACAGGGACCCATGACACACTCTGGACCTGGCAGCAGCATGAGGAGGCGGTACAGGGGCCCATGACAGATTACGGGCCTGGCAGCAGCATGAGGAGTCGGTACGGGGGCCCATGGCAGATTACGGGCCTGGCAGCAGCAATGGGAGGCCGTACAGGGACCCATGACACACTCTGGACCTGGAAGCAGCATGAGGAGTCGGTACGGGGGCCCATGGCAGATTACGGGCCTGGCAGCAGCAATGGGAGGCCATACAGCACCCTATGACAAAATGGAACCCACCAGCAGTGTGAGGAGTCCTGAAAGTGGCACATGGCAGAGTGTGGCGATGGAGACAGCAGCAATGGGAGGCCGTACAGGGACCCATGACACACTCTGGACCTGGCAGCAGCATGAGGAGGCGGTACAGGGGCCCAGGACAGATTACGGGTCTGGCAGCAGCATGAGGAGTCGGTACGGGGGCCCATGGCAGATTACGGGCCTGGCAGCAGCAATGGGAGGCCGTACAGGGACCCATGACACACTCTGGACCTGGCAGCAGCATGAGGAGGTGGTACAGGGGCCCATGACAGATTACGGGCCTGGCAGCAGCATGAGGAGTCGGTACGGGGGCCCATGGCAGATTACGGGCCTGGCAGCAGCAATGGGAGGCCGTACAGGGACCCATGACACACTCTGGACCTGGCAGCAGCATGAGGAGGCGGTACAGGGGCCCATGACAGATTACGGGCCTGGCAGCAGCATGAGGAGTCGGTACGGGGGCCCATGACAGATTACGGGCCTGGCAGCAGCAATGGGAGGCCCGTAATCTGCCAGCACCCTATGACAAAATGGAACCCACCAGCAGTGTGAGGAGACCTGAAAGTGGCACATGGCAGAGTGTGGCGATGGAGACAGCAGCAATGGGAGGCCGTACAGGGACCCATGACACACTCTGGACCTGGCAGCAGCGTGAGGAGGCGGTACAGGGGCCCATGGCAGATTACGGGCCTGGCAGCAGCAATGGAGGCCCGTAATCTGCCAGCACCCTATGACAAAATGGAACCCACCAGCAGTGTGAGGAGACCTGAAAGTGGCACATGGCAGAGTGTGGCGATGGAGACAGCAGCAATGGGAGGCCGTACAGGGACCCATGAGACACTCTGGACCTGGCAGCAGCATGAGGAGGCGGTACAGGGGCCCATGACAGATTACGGGCCTGGCAGCAGCAATGGGAGGCCCGTAATCTGCCAGCACCCTATGACAAAATGGAACCCACCAGCAGTGGAGCTGGTGCTCTACTCCGTGGCCGTTTGCCTCCACTGACACTGCTGCGACCCTGCTGCCTCCTGGGCAACCCACCGACTGTTTTGCTCGCTGCCAAGCTGGCACCCTCTTCTCCTGATGATGCGGAAGCAATAGCCTGATGACGACGAGGCTGCCAAGTGCGATCAGCCTCATCATCATCAATTAGGGTCTCCGCCTCACTACTAGCCCCCTCGGCTGCGTGTGGGTCAGGAGACAGACCTGTCTCTAGACCGGCTACCGAGCCACTCTCCTTGCCAGTACTTCTTCGCCTGGCTGCTGAAGAGGCGGATGTCTCCCCCCGTTCCTGACCGCCCTCTGTTAGCTCTTCCTCACTGTACAGTGGGGCTGAGCCCACAGCATGCGATACTTCACTTGGTGAGGGAACACCAAAGGACAGGGGCAGGTAGAGGACACGTGATTTCAGTGAACTTGCTCCCGGGCCATGCCAACTAACGGTTGTGTCTGACGTACCCACCGACCGTTGGCTGTAGGTGTCAGAGGTGACCTGGGAAGAGGAAGATGACCGAGCCAACCAATCGATGACGGCAGAGTTGTCGGTGGAGACACGACCGCTGGATGACACCGGGAGCACTGGCCTCTGGCTGCGACTAGTGCTGCCTCGACCCCTTCCTCTGCTGCCACGTCTGCTCGCTCCTGAAACATTGCCTCCTCTGCCACTTCTCTGCGTGTTGTCTGACATACTCTTTAATTCAACGATTCTGTGTCCCTGAGTAACGATTCTGTGTCCCTGAGTAACAGTTCTGTGTCCCTGAGTAACAATTCTGTGTCCCTGAGTAACAATTCTGTGTCCCTGAGTAACAATTCTGTGTCCCTCAGTAACAATTCTGTGTCCCTCAGTAACAATTCTGTGTCTGTCCCTGAGTAACAATTCTGTGTCCCTCAGTAACAATTCTGTGTCCCTCAGTAACAATTCTGTGTCTGTCCCTGAGTAACAATTCTGTGTCCCTGAGTAACAGTTCTGTGTCCCTGAGTAACAGTTCTGTGTCCCTGAGTAACAATTCTGTGTCCCTGAGTAACAATTCTGTGTCCCTCAGTAACAATTCTGTGTCCCTCAGTAACAATTCTGTGTCCCTCAGTAACAATTCTGTGTCTGTCCCTGAGTAACAATTCTGTGTCCCTGAGTAACAGTTCTGTGTCCCTGAGTAACAATTCTGTGTCCCTGAGTAACAGTTCTGTGTCCCTGAGTAACAATTCTGTGTCCCTGAGTAACAATTCTGTGTCCCTCAGTAACAATTCTGTGTCCCTCAGTAACAATTCTGTGTCTGTCCCTGAGTAACAATTCTGTGTCCCTGAGTAACAGTTCTGTGTCCCTGAGTAACAATTCTGTGTCCCTGAGTAACAGTTCTGTGTCCCTGAGTAACAATTCTGTGTCCCTGAGTAACAATTCTGTGTCCCTCAGTAACAATTCTGTGTCTGTCCCTGAGTAACAATTCTGTGTCCCTCAGTAGCAATTCTGTGTCCCTCAGTAACAATTCTGTGTCCCTCAGTAACAATTCTGTGTCCCTCAGTAACAATTCTGTGTCTGTCTCTGAGTAACAATTCTGTGTCCCTGAGTAACAGTTCTGTGTCTCTGAGTAACAGTTCTGTGTCCCTGAGTAACAGTTCTGTGTCCCTGAGTAACAGTTCTGTGTCCCTCAGTAACAATTCTGTGTCTGTCCCTGAGTAACAATTCTGTGTCCCTCAGTAACAATTCTGTGTCCCTCAGTAACAATTCTGTGTCCCTCAGTAACAATTCTGTGTCTGTCCCTGAGTAACAGTTCTGTGTCCATGAGTAACAGTTCTGTGTCCCTGAGTAACAGTTCTGTGTCCCTGAGTAACAATTCTGTGTCCCTCAGTAACAATTCTGTGTCCCTCAGTAACAATTCTGTGTCCCTCAGTAACAATTCTGTGTCTGTCCCTGAGTAACAGTTCTGTGTCCATGACTAACAGTTCTGTGTCCCTGAGTAACAGTTCTGTGTCCCTCAGTAACAATTCTGTGTCCCTCAGTAACAATTCTGTGTCCCTCAGTAACAATTCTGTGTCCCTGAGTAACAGTTCTGTGTCCCTGAGTAACAATTCTGTGTCTGTCCCTGAGTAACAGTTCTGTGTCCCTGAGTAACAATTCTGTGTCCCTGAGTAACAGTTCTGTGTCCCTGAGTAACAGTTCTGTGTCCCTGAGTAACAATTCTGTGTCCCTAAGTAACGATTCTGTGTCCCTAAAGTATCTGTGGCCCTAACTCTGTCCCTAATACAGAGAGGTCTGTCTCTCTTGAATGACCGGAGGCAAATGGAGAATTGTAAGATGGCCGCAATTTATAGCTCCACCATTACACAGTGCTGGCTGGCTGGCTGCTGATTGGCTAATGCGATCACATGTCATGAATGAATGCATTATGGGTCAGCGCGCCTTGTCTGTGCGCCTTCCCAGAGATCCCCACTCCGTCGCCACACATGTCGCCGCCATTTTTGGAAAAATTTCGATTCGCGCATCCGAAGTCTGCTAATTTTCGGATTCGGCGCGATTCGAATTTTTCCTAATATTCGAAACGAATTCCACTTCGCCAAGTTCGATTCGCTCATCTCTAAAAATAAGTCCAAAACAGCAGTGCTGGTGAGATCTCAGGTGATCTTCAGATATCCAATAGCTGGAACCGTGGAGAAGGTGACAAGATATATAAAGATTGCGCACTCACCAGATACGCAATCTCAGTGCGCATTGATAATAGAAAAAACCACTGGACATCTGGTATCATCCGTCTGGTCAGATCTGGTCAAGTAACTTTCACTGCCTGGTGGTACTGTCACACTTAGAGGTAACCTTTTGATGGATGTGGCTGCTCTGTAAACATAGCTGGTTCTCATGGGAACTCAAAAAAACAGAGAGGGCCACATAGTGCAGTATCCTTAGGATGTTTATTCCATATGCAGGCACATGTACAAAAAGAGAAGTACTAACAGATCAATACTGACCTATAGAATATAAAAGATGGCCGCCGGGGCCCCTCGGGGCGCCGGCGGCGTAGCGTCATACCTGCTGTAGCCCACTGACGCGTTTCGAGCGACTGCTCGTAGTCATAGGGGTGCAGCTTACAGTGGCGGACGCAAATGACCTGTTTAAATATGGGTGATGGCGCATGCGCCGTTATCGCGCGCCATCTTCCAAGTGCTGAATGTCTCCGCGATGGACGCCATCTTAGTGTAGCCCTGGCCGATGACACATGCGCGAACGCCTTAATGTTGGATTCGAGATAGACAGCACAACAGGGATCACAAGGGAAAAGTGTGTTATCGCCGAGACAATTCTGTAATGCGGACACACTAGACATACTGATCTTAATTAACTTGTAATGTACAGCGCTGAGCGAACTATTGGCGCTTTATAAATACTGTATAATAATAATAATAATAAATTAACACTAAAATTATCACTATAGCCAACATCAAAAATGACTTTAATATTCAGGTCCAGAGGTGGCCACAGTTCATACAAATTCCAATATGGAAATATAATATATATAAATACACCTGGTGATCCTGTGCATAATGAGGCTGTATGTCAAATAGAACAAGGATCCACAATAGTTAACAAATAAGATGCACACACGTAAAAAATGTTAACTATTCTAGTTAAAATTAATACACACCCCATAATAAATCCAATAAAATGAATATATGTCATACAGTTTATGTGTTTATATAGTTTATATGTTAAACTATATAAAAACCGCAATAAAAATATATTAATGATAAAAAATGTAACTATTATCAATAAAACTATTGATATCCAGTTCTATATTAAGCCCCTTCGGGCGCATACACTCCATCTGAAAGATCCATTTGGTTTCCATCTGTGAGACTGCTCTCCTTTTGTTAGTGCCCCTCCAATGGGCTTGCACTATATCGATACCTACAAAAATCAAGGAGGATGGGTCTCTATTATGATGGGTCCTGTAATGCATTGAGAGCGAGTGTTCTTTATAGCCCTTTTTCACGTTGCTAACATGTTCCCGTAATCTATCCCTGATTCTCCTGGTAGTACGTCCAATGTACTGTTTTTTGCAAGGACATTGCAGGAGATACACAACATGTCTACTATAGCATGATATGAAATTATTAATCTTAAATGTCCTGCCAGTACTGGTGGATGTAAAGTTCTCCACTCTCTTTTTCCTTTTCCCATTACAGGTCCATATGATACATTTGTTACATGGGAAAAAGCCAATCGTATTATCAAGAAAGGAGACATTCTTAGGTGGATTAATAATATTAGGGGCTATCAAGTTCCTCAGGGATTGTGCTCTCCTATAAGTAATCTCAGGTTTCTCTGGTAGGATCTTAGTTAGAACCGGATCTGCTTTTAGAATTTTCCAATTCTGGTTAATTAGCCTAGAAATGGTTTTAAATTGTCTGGAAAAAGTAGTAACAAAGGGGCAAATCTTAGGTGGCCTCTGTGATGTATTATCAGCAAGCAAAGATTCTCTATCCATATTTGCTATCTCATGCATAGTATGGGTAAGACATGACTCATCATATCCTTTTTCTATAAATCTATTTTTTAGTACAGATGCTTGTGATAAATAGGTATCTATGGAGGTACAATTTCTTCTAATCCTCAGGAATTGACCCTTAGGTATATTTGAAAGCCACGACTGGTGATGACAACTACTAGTGGGAATGTAACTATTACGGTCTGTTTCCTTAAAAAAGGAAGAAGTCATTACAGTACCGTCCAAATTTATTAATGTTAGGTCCAGAAAATTCACACTAGTTTTACTATAATCAAAGGTTAATTTAATGTTCAAAGTATTATTATTAAGGGTTCCAAAGAAATTGACTAATGTTTGTTCATCACCCTTCCAAATAAGCAAAATATTATCTATATATCGTCTATAAAAAT